AGTCAGAGCGGACACGGTGCTAAGGACGGCCTCGTGAGCCTGCACCTTATCCCTTCTCTCTCTCTCTTTCTCTTCCTCCTCCCTCTTCAAGGCTTTCTCGTAGAAGAACTGATACTGCGGTTTTTCTGCCTCAGGGGCAGCGTCCATCTGCAGTTTCCAATCTGCTGCAGATGCCATGATGGAGGATGAGGGTGTCAGTAAGACTCTCAAGAGGGGTCCGTACTTCCTCTCAACTTTGTGACGAACGCTCCTCTTCCCTCTCCTCACTCCCTCAAGAGCAACACTCAATAACTTCTCTCTTCTCTCTCTCTCTCTCTCGTTTGCGACCGTGTAGACGCAGGCTTTAAAGAACCCAATGAAAGAAACAGCTTGAAATCATTCAGAACAGAAGGTAGAACTCCTAGCCGGAGCAGCAATTCATTTGGACTGGAGAGCAGTCAAAACAGCAAAAAAAGAAAAGATCAGAGAGATCTGATCCAGACACACAATCTGGACTGACTACGTATGGGGTCCTCACAAGCCTAGCCAGCCTCAGCTCCGTGAAAACACAGCAAATCAGATTCAAGATGTACAACGAAATGCAAGAGAGAATTGAGTGGTGTATAAGGTGCGAGTCAGGCGGCGGATTGCGTGGTAAAGTCTGATAAAACGTCCCAGCGGAGATCCCCTCCGCAGTGAGTGTCATGGTCCGAAAGCATAAAGTCCGTATCCCGATCAGATAGAGCAAGGTAACCGACGTCAACAGATTTGGCCTGAGGGGCCCTTCTTGTTTGGGCCCGGTCCCACTGAGTCCCAAATGTTCCCAGTGGAGTCAGAACCGGGTCCCAACCAACAAGAGTTCCACAGAGACCTACTCTGTCCCTACTGAATTGAAAAACGATATTTTGCCCCAGAAAGAACCTGTAGACTACCGTCGTTCAGAATGAAATAAACAAAGCACTGTAGAGAGATATCACATGGCAAACAAGATACTCCATTCATTCACTCATCAGGTGAGTAGGCAGTTCACACACCTCACACACAATCAAGACTATGGAGGATGGAAGAAGAACCCAGAGAACCCCAACAGGCAGTCAACTCC